GTCCTGTATCACCTGGTAGGATCAGTATTGTCAGAAAGACAAAACGTAACAGTAGATGAGGGTTTAGAGAAAACAAACTTCTTGTATTCTGTTGGCAAGGTGTGAATGTATGCACTCATCATGGCACTACGTATGTAGGCAGGATTAGCAGCATGTGGAGTCTTCAGAAAGAAAGTTAAAAGATAAAATGCATTAGAGAATAAATTGAGAAACAGTTGGTTTGTGATTCCCGAGTTGGATGAGTTTCATATATTGAACTGGCTTTGCTGTGTGTCTTGGACTTTTCTTAGGGTATCGCGCAGTAAAGCTTATAGTTTGATATAGGGTGAATATGTTTTCTTCTGTTTTGACTCCTAATTCACAGATTTGGTTTGTTTTTAGCCTGTCACTTCCTCTGTGTTGTGAGCTTTCTTTGGATAGACTCCTGAGTCTGTGTATAATGAACCTTCATTGACTTTCTGAATCACGTGACTGATTTTCATAATGAGAACAACAAATCGAAGAAGTGTGCCTTGTACTCATGCGCTATTCTTATCTTTGTAATGCATTTCCATAGAAGCACAAAAACACTTGGAGGTAACAAAATAACCAGTATGTACATGAAAACATAAATCCTTATTTTCTTTGGGAATTTTATCTAACATTTATCACTGTCATTTTCTCGTATGTTTCATGAGGACTCTAATGTTGGAGTGGAAATTATTTTAATATCACATTTATCATGGAAACATTCTGAAAATTTTATAAACTTCGAATAATGCCTCTAATACTTTTATAAGATTGTAATATTTTCTCGGGTATTAGTGGATTAGGATGCATTTTGACAATATTATTGCACTCTTATCATCCTTTGTTGTGGGTTTAAAAATATATTTAATATAAGACACGAGGGATACTGAGCTTCATTTTTAATTTATATTTATAAAAAAGGAATCAATGAACCAGCTGAGTTTAAAGCACATGAGAACACTGGATTATTTTCCTTTTTCACCTATAGAATTATGGAATGGATTTATTTTTTGACGATTTTGAAATAACTGTGGCAATATTATCTGGGGAATAAATTGTTTCAATTTCTTTGATCAGATCTTATGCTGGAGTTATTAAAATATAAACCAAGAAAAGGAACCATTAACTTACGCTTTCAAAATAGTCTTTAAATAATCAATATTGTAATGTATTTTGTACAATAGTAACATTCCAGAGATTAAGTCAGCCGTTCTCCATGTGAGTTTTAAGGATTTAATTTAAATTTAATATTGGCAGAGAAATAGCGTTGGATCACTAAGTTGCTTTGCAATGACTATTAAAGCAGTGCTGCTTGAGTTCTGGTTCTGGACACACTGGGATGCGTAGTGCCCAGGTGCTGTTGTAGAATCTGGTCTTGTAACTGAATCTTTTTGATTCTCGTTGCCTGTGTAACAAACATTTAACCTTTTTGCTCTCATGATAACTATTGATATAAATGGGAAATATGTTTGTCACAGCAGTGAAGGTGACATTTGTTATGCCTGTTATCCCAGTGGGTGTCACTGTGTTTTGAGTTCAGGCTCCACCTGCATTTCCAGGTTCCTACTAATGTGCGTCCAGTCAGGTAGCAGCTCAAGTCCCACGCGGGTGGGTCCCTGCCCCCACAGAATAATCCAGCCCTGACTTCCCGGCTGTGGGGCAAATGGGGAGTGGACCAGCTCAGGACAGATCTCCCTGTCTGCCTCACAAACGTGTGTGTGTATCTGTGTGTTTGTATGGGGGGTCTTAGTGTGTATTTGTGCATAAAAAAAGATTCATAGTTATCCATCTGTATGTGAAAATGAAAAGACTATACATAGATGTGAAAATGAGAAGTTGATAACAGAAGCAAAACTGTGTATCAATGGAAAATATATATACATTTCTGATAGAATATATATGATAATAAATATGGAAGATATATATATATAAGGTAGAATATATGTATATATTTGCATATATATCAGAGTATTGAGGGATACAAAAGCAACAGAAAAAGCATATTCTGATATATATTTATGTAGACTAATGTATTTTTATATGATATGAATATCTGATGCTTAGAAAGAATGTATTCTCTATATAAATAATATATACAGATGGAAAGATACAGATAAGATAAATATGCTGGTATATTCTTTATATATGAGAAAGAATTCTCATGTTTTGATACCTGGAGATCAGAATATTAATTTTACAGAATATGCTTTCACTTTTCATTTTATCTACTTGTATGTTCCTGTTCCTGGCGATTTCTAATTTTTTGTAACAGATGTTCAGATAACTTTCATAATGAGTATGTTGATGCCTGGAATTCTAGAACCTCAAATTTGAGTTACCAATATATTCTTCCAAGATGTATTATGGAAAAATAGCTAAAATATTTAATTTAACTTCGGGCATAATTTCTGATAGATTGAATTATATGTGATTTTAAAAAGAAACACAAGGGCCCAGAACGGTGGTCTTGCGGCTTAAGTCCCCAGAATCCCGTACAGGCACTGCTTCAATTCCAGGCGGCCCTACTTTTCATCCAGCTCCCTACTTGTAGCCCGGGAAAGCAGTTAGAGACGATCCAAGGCCTTGGGGCCCTTCACTCGCATAAAAGACCCAGAGGAGGCTCCAGGCTTGTTTGGATCAGCTGAGGTCGGGCCATTGAAATTACTTGGCAGTGAATCAGCAGATGAAAGATCTTCCTCTCTTCTTTCCTCTTCTCTGTATATCTGACTTTCCAATAAAAGTAAACAATTCTTTCCCCAAGAGGCCTCAACGGCCAGGGCTGAGCCAATCCGAAGCCAGGAACCAGGAGCTTCCTCTAGGTCTCCCACACGGGCACAGGATCCCGAGGCTTTGGTCCATCCTCCACTGTCCTCTTAGGCCACAAATAAGAATCTGGATGGGAAGCAGGGCTACCAGTACATGAACCAGCATGCGTATGTGATCCCAGCACATGCAAGGCAAGGAATTCAGCTGCTGAGTCACCCTGTGGGGCCTAACACAATGCATTTTTTAAAGAGTCATTTTTAATTTAAGAATGAAAAGAAATTCTCACTAAGGCTGACAAAACTACAACTCACCATACTTTCACTGCAAATCAACATGTGTTGTGCGCCACCTTCTCCTTGTATTGTCAGTTTCCTACCAAGTGTTCTGAGATTCAGGTCTCTTCAGAGAACAAAACTCTTCTTAAGAGAGTGATGGGGGGCCCGGCGCGGTGGCGCAAGTGGTTAAAGGTCCTCGCCTTGCACGCCCAGGATCCCATATGGGCGCCGGTTCTAATCCCGGCAGCCCCGCTTCCCTTCCAGCTCCCTGCCTGTGGCCTGGGAAAGCAGTCGAGGACGGCCCAAAGGTTTGGGAACCTGCACCCGCGTGGGAGACCCGGAAGAGGCTCCTGGCTTCGGATCGGCATAGTATCGGCCCGTTGCGCTCACTTGGGGAGTGAATCATCGGATGGAAGATCTTCCTCTCTGTGTCTCCTCTCTGTATATCCGCCTTTCCAATGAAAAAATAATAAAAATAAATCTTAAAAAAAAAAAAAAGAGAGAGTGATGGAAGATTCTAGCCTTGAAATTGTGTTACTGAATGAATAGGCAAGAACTCCCAGCAGGGAAAGGAGTGTCATTGAGTACACAGATGACAGGTTTTAGTCTACTGGTATATTGCACCAAGAATGCACTTATGAATGAATTACTGAATCTAGAGTGCTTCTGAGTCAGATTTACAGTAAAGAGGTCCCCGTGTCCTTGAATGTCATTTTCAGAGCAAAAGCTAATTTCATTTTGTGCATTTTCACTATGAATAAATTGATCCAAATCAGTTTAGCCTAGTTGCCACAAAAGTGATCAAATTCATGTATCTCTTTCAATATTGTTATTAAGTTATTCTCTTTAGGAATTTAAATTCATATTTTTAGGTTATAGAATATTGACGTTTGTGATAAATTATCTGTGAGATTACTGTTCAGCAGAAAACAGTAATGTGAAATTGGTTCTTAAAAATAATTTGCTTTTCTAGTCAGTAATACTAAATGCCCATAGACTACAACTATGTATTTTAATGTTTAAATATGAGGTTTGGCAGGCTTTGTCATCTTAATAAAGGTTCTAAATTGCTGTTTATATTTTGAAAAGATTGTTTGAAAGAGTTATGGAGAGATAGAGATGTTTCATCTGCTGGTTTACTCCCTAAGCAGCAACAACGGCCAGGGCTGGACCAGGTCAAAGCCAGGAGCCTTGTCAGGTTCTTGCTCGGGGTTAGAAGGGGCCCCAACACTTGGGCTGTACTTTGCTTTTTCTAGACCATTAACAGGGAACTAGATCAATTGTGGAACAGCCAGGACAGGAGCCAGCAGCCATATGTGACTCTGATATTACAGTGTCTTAATGCATTGAGCCACATGTTAACCTGAACTACAGGTTTTCAAGTGCCTTTACATGAATGTCTGCATAATCTGAATTTATTTGACTGCCGTCTAATAAAATTCTATAGTTGTTCTGTCTCATTGCATCTTTTGGGGGTGGGCGCCAGCTATGGGGGTGAGTCTTTCCTTTTAAATGTTCCGTTGTCTTCACATTTTCTGTATCCTGTATACCAGTTCATGTTACATTACAACTATTTAACTTTTAACTCTGAATCCTGCTGTGTTCAACTAAATTGTTAAATTAGTTAACATGAGCACACTGAATGGGTAGGTTTTTAAATTTTATTTTATTATTCCATGATAGCAGTTCTGTAGGCTCTGGGATCCCCTACCTGCCCAAATTCCCTTCCTCCACTAATTTCCTCTCTTTTATTACAATAGTGTAGTGACTTCAAAAACAGTCATAAGTCCATTATACAGTTTAGTTGTTTCCTCGATAAGCCCAAAACCCTGTACAGGCAAAACCTTTTGAAGTCTATGTTAAAACAGCGAACATCAAGGTGGTATTGATATGGCTAATGTTTTAACCTCGTGTAACCTTATGGTTTCTTCTCTGTTCTTCTGACTCTAGATGCAACAACAGGACGCAGTGTGCGGTGGTGGCAGGTCCTGACGTTTTTCCAGACCCGTGTCCAGGAACCTATAAATACCTTGAAGTGCAGTATGAATGTGTCCCCTACAGTATGTATTCTCTTGTACTTTATCTTCAACTTTATTCTGCATGCAATGACAATATAATCATTGGGAGAGCATAAAAGTAACCACAAAAGTTACGTGGGGAACAAAAAGTAGTCTACTTTTAATTTTTGAAGTCCGTAGATCCTGCGCGCCAGTGGAAGAATTAAATGCCGTCTTTATGGATAGGCAGTGTAGAATCTTGAAGCTGTGTTGCGGTACCTCTTCTAACGCTCTTTTCCTAATGTAAAAATATTCAGAACAGGTTGAAGCAGTGGCTGGTGAGGTGTGCATCCCTTCAGGTACAAGCCAACGGGGAGTGAACTATTCTTGTATTCACATCAGTCTCGAAGCATTTTGAATTTGATAGGAGCAGTTGTATCTAAGCCTCGTGTGTTATCAACATTTTGTGAATTAGAAATATATTCATCCGGGGAGAACAGACTGGAAAGGAAAAGGCAAGGTGTACTTGAACTCAAAGTTTTCCTTGAATGCATTTTTTTTACAGCCTGAAGAAAATTGTGGCTTTGCAGCCTTGAAGTTCCAATGAGATATGACAGTTTGTTCTTTCTGCAGGAATAAAGAAGAATCAAGCAATGTAAAATAAAGTTTTTTTTTTTTATATCCAAGGAAAGAATCACTGTCTCAAAGCATTTTTTTTTGTCTGACTAGTCAATTGTTTATGGGATTTGTTACTAACAATCAGCAAATCCTGCATTTTCCTATTAGAGGTTCAGCTCATCCAGAGGTGCAAACACCTGGCGTCATAGACAAGTCCCACGTTCCGCCTTCTTTTGATGTCCTGCACACAGCAGGTGTACGGTGCTGGGGCACCTTTGTAAGCACTTCTCATTCTTGCTTATTGGAAGAAAGCACATTGTGCTCATGAATTAGGAATGTGCATCATCAGGGCAGGAGAGAAATCTGGCCCGCCCCCCTCCCCCCGCAAAAAAAAAAAAAAAAAACAAGGTCTCCATGGTCATTGCTTCCACTGTTACCTCCATAGGCCCTTCTGTGAAAATAGAAAGCTGCTGCTTACCGCTGAGTGTTAAGAGGCATTGACCATCATAGAACTGAGGCAGTTACACTTGGATTGTGTAATGAGATCTTGATGAAATATGTATGCTTTTAAAAAGTCTTTAAAAAAAAGATTCAGTATGAAGGATCTTGTTTTTCTAAGGTAATTGAAGGAGATGTATGCTCATGTTTTGTGTTTTCCTGTATTGAAGCATAAAGCTGCCACGGAATGTCAGATTGTAGATTTCATACATGTTTTTTAAAGTAAGAACCTCATAGCTGGCTATTGAATTTCCTGTAGTTTTTCAGAATTTTTTTAAGGATAGCCACTCTAGAATCCTCTGCCAAACACAGTCTGAGATATCAACTACTTAAGTCACTTGGCTAGAAATTAGAAGTTGCTTATACACTTCTGCATGAAAGGATTACAGTTTACCACAGCTTACCTGTCTCTCGTAAATTCTCAGAGATGTGCAGTTTGTCCCTTTTGTATCCTATGTTTTGATGTTTCTGGTGATCTTGAACATTTGCTGACTCCAGTAGAAGTATGTCTCTATTATGAAAGTACTTATGTGATGATTTCATTAACCCCCTCTAGAGGGCGGTTTGATTTGCATCATGTACCATGATGATTTTGTTGAAATCGTCTTCAATCTGTTGGGCTGACAATGCAATACAGAATTAGAATACAGTTGGCAAATTTAACACGTTTTTTAGATAAAATAAAATAAAGAAAGCAGAAAACACCAAAATTAGTGATTGATTGGACAAGTGGGTTTGTTGTGCAGAAAGACAGCCAGAAAGTTGGGGTTTAGAATGAAGTCTAATCACTTACAGGAAGATTGGAGGCTTCCGTTCCAGCCTACTGCCTAGAAGTTTCTGGGTTTCACTAAAGGGATGGCCGCTGATATATTCAGAGTTGGATCGTTTAGCTCAGATAGGAAAAACAATTTTTCCACTGATGAAAAGATGAAAATATCTGCCATTTATTGACATTTTTAGATGAATTAAATGTTCACATACATTAATCTATTACTTTATTCTTACATAATTCTTAGGTGGTAGTATCATTTTACTGAAAGGGAAGTGGAAACTTGGTGGGTTCAAGGGAATGCTTCTTTTAAAAATGTAGACTAGCTAGAGAATGCCAGAGCAATGTTCGAATCTCCCTACCCGTGGCCTTCTGATGCAGGGATATCAGCATTGTACCACATAGATATTTCCTTTTGTGTTTTCACAAGTTATTTGATCTTGATCAATACGCACTAGATAAAATGACCATCAGTGCGGTGCTCACAGGTGTGGAAATATATCTTTAGTAGTCCAGGCTTTTTTGAGGTTTGCGGAAGAATCATTTATAAATGATTTTTAAGAAAGTTCTGTTCCTTTATTAGAACAAACGAATCACTACCATCTTTAGTTTTCCCAAGACATTCATGGGGCTTTATAACACAAACTATGTTTCCCCATTAAAACACCACTTGTTTTTTAGAATAAGGTTTTTAATTATCAATGCCAGACAAAAGCCTGTACTTAATGATATTTTTATGATTCTTGACAAAACATCATTATTACATTGTTATATACCAGTCTTCAGCTTTAGGATTTGACAGTAATATTGGAAAATCTTCTCATTAAGCTACTAAGTAAACAAATTAGGTTCTGTTTGTTTTACAGTTCATTAGTATCCATTTTCATTTTTGCATTTAAGATCTCAGACTGGTGTGTAGCAATGTTCTGATCAACGGCAGACTGCAGAAACGACAGTGGTCCCGTAAGATCATAGTGGAACTGCAGTTCTTCTGGTGCCTGGGATTTCAGTGTGCCGTTTCCATGTTTAGATTCATGAATAGCTGTGTGTTGCAGGTGTCTGTAGATCTCAACATAACAACATGCTATATAGGCTTGTAATCTGCCAGAAAGGGGCTGGAACCCTTGCTTGAGTGTATAGTAGGCTCTGCCTTGGAGGTTTGTAGTGCTACTCACTGGGATGTTTCCCAAATCATAGTATCACCAAACCATAGTGACTGTAATACCTGAGTATGTATTATTTCAAATATGTTCCTCTCGATAATGATTTTGGGAGAAATATTGTTGATTCTTTTCTTTAAGAATACTGTCAGTAAGAAAATAATCCCAAAGGTTGATGTTGCGGCACGGCGAATGAGCCAGCAATGGGCACCATTTCTTGTCTTGGCTTTCCACTTCTAATCCAGTCCAGTAAAGGAGTGAAGGGTACTCCAGATGCCATTCTATGAGCCCAGAGGGAAACTCCGGGCGTCTGGCTTGGGCCTGGCCCAGCCCTGGCTTTTATCACCATGTGCAAAAGAAACCAGAACATGAACATCTGTCTTTGTTTTTCTGTCCATAACTATCTTTTTAAGTAAATAAAAAGTAGATATTTTAAATAGCAGATAAATTTAACAAAAAAAAATCCATTGTAACTAAACATATTGCCAATAATAGAAATATTTGAGAAAATATGATCTTTGCAGAGGACTTTAAGAGTCAGTATGTAGGGACATAATTAAACAGTGACAATTTCAGAAAGAACATCCTGAATGAATTAAATGCTGAGTGGATCAGATGACAGGATTTTCTTTACAAGCACCAGGACGAAAGAAAAAATGAAAATGAGCGACTCACAATGAAATAATGAAATTGCTTAACTTGAGTGATTTGAATTAATTGTGCAGACTCACTATTTATTTAATCTTTTCCGAGTAGTAAGTTCTTACCTGCGTTTTCTTATTTTCTCCTATATGCTGTATTTCTGGCCAAGCTTGGGACAGATGAATCAATTCTTTCCTCTGCTCCTGTCACACCTCAGTTCTGCTGTGACTTTTATAGCCTTCGCCTTTTCTTTGAGGTTTCAATTTCCTCCTTGGTGGGTGTTTTCTCTCCAGGAGCTAACCCATGTATTCAAGAGGTTAAACCTCACCCATCAGTAATACCACAATTTGTTCTTCATCTTCCAATTCTCCTCCTCCATTCCGACCTGGTTTGGGATTGAAATCTGAGACCTTCAAGTACAGCTGCCTTCCTTTAGCTTGGTTACACGGATGGCTGGTGTTGGGGAGGACCCACCCACCCTGTGTCCTGCTGGCCAGCGTCTTTTGTTCCAGCTTGCAGTTCACTCACAAAGAGCTCTTCTTTCCCCACAAGGCAGTTTTCCAATCAGTTCATTATTATTTCTTCTTTTCAGCATCACACCGTGCATATTACTAATTCTCATGATGATCTTCTGTCATGGTGGATTTTCTTAAAAATTGAGAGGAGGTATACAGTTTGGAGAGCTGTGAAAAATAAATATTTGAGTAAATTGGTCTCATGTTACAGCATTTAATAATTTCGCACCGTTCACATCCATCATTGGGGTAGTTATGTAAATAGTTATCTTTGCAAAACCATATATGAGTGCATATTAATGGAAATTAATCTTTATGAATAATTATACATTGTTAACTTTGTCTCTTTTGTCTCATTTTACTTAAAATGTCTTTAGGTATTTCATATAATTAAATACATTTTGCCACTAATTTTCAAAAGATATGTATTTAATATGCACTATTTCGGTTACTGTTATGGAAATAAGTGCATAGTTTTAAACTTGTGCTGAAATTAATCAAAATCTTTGATTTCAGAAACATCACAAAAATATCAAGATATCTTTAATTCTTAAACCTGTAGTATCTTTCCCAGTTTTCAATACACAGGAGATATGCAATCAATTTGGACGGAATGCTTGAAATACAAAATGAAATTTAATTGCAGGCAGTTGGTCTTGTAATTAAGATTTCTTCATTCCACATTAGCCTGCCGGGGTCAGTGTCTGCCTGCTGCTCCTGACTCCAGCCCCTCTGGCCCAGGCCATGGCACTGGCACTGGCTGAAATAATAGCATTCCAGCCCCCACGTGAAACCCCTGTGTTAATGTCTTGTTTCCTGTTTTGTTCCAGTGCAGCCAGGCCTGGGTGGGTGGTTGGGAAG